CCATTCGGAACTGAGTCTGCTCATTAAGCGAAGAAGTGCATTTTCATTCATTTTGATGGCCAAACTTCTAGTTATTGAAAGAAAAACATGGATTTCTCCAAATTCCACTAAAAATACTTCTGGAAAGTAGAGTGGTATCCCCCCCACCTCCTCTACTGTGGGGGAAGAGGGAATAAAAATGCCTCACACACTCAGAGTGTATGACCGGAACTGAGTCTGCTCATTAAGCGAAGAAGTGCATTTTCATTCATTTTGATGGCCAAACTTCTAGTTATTGAAAGAAAAACATGGATTTCTCCAAATTCCACTAAAAATACTTCTGGAAAGTAGAGTGGTATCCCCCCCACCTCCTCTACTGTGGGGGAAGAGGGAATAAAAATGCCTCACACACTCAGAGTGTATGACAAGCAATGTGCTTTGCTCCTCTTTAGTTAAAAACACAAACAAAACCCTGACAAAACTGGAAAATTCTGCCTTTTAATTAGACACTCTCAGTTTCCCTCCCCATTACCTCACTTGCCTGAAGGTGTAGGTGATACATACTGATGAACAATCCCTCCAGCATCCTTAGCCATAGCATTCAGCTTGGGTGTTGCAGTTCTTTCTCTGGTCACAAAGGGACCTCTCATACTTCTGAGCTACTTTTCAATCCTGTAAAGAAGATTCCACCTACCAGAAAGTAAGAAGGAAGGATAATTGCTGTCTACCTTTTCCTTGAAAGACCATCTCTGATCTTGTTCTTTACCTTCTCCGTCTGCAGGCACAGAAATAGAAACACTTTTCTTATTTAAGCCTTCATGTTCTGTGCTTTTGAGACAGTGCAGTCATTGTGCCTGGTGGTGTGTCTGCTCCTGCTAACTGATATTCTGTGTGTTGGGATGTGGAGCAGAAACTGAAGAAAGCAGGGGAACTTGACATGGAAACTCATAGTCCAGAACAAACAGCCACAAATGGTTCTGATTTTTGGAGAAAAAGATTCCTTTTGTATTTCCAAGCCTGCATCTTCCTTTACTGCCAGTGCACAGCCAACAGGTGATGTGATGTGAAGCTTCTCTGGCTGGTGGTCCAGGATATCATGTTTTACCTCCTGACTCCTTCCTTCTGCAGTACTTCTTTTGAGGCTCCATATGCATAAGTTCCTTCACTTTGAAATCATTCCAGTTACAAATGGACTAAGTCTGGCATCTCTCTGGTCTCCAAATTAGTGAGGAGTGGTATGCAGCCAGTAAGAAGATTCTTCTGAGCATTCTGTTTTCTTTCATGCTTGCAAAAGTCTTCTTGTGCTTTTCTGTTGGGGTGGCATATGATGCTCTAACCAAGGTTGTGTGCCAGCTTTAAAGCTTGAGAATACAAGCCAAAGATTATTTTTTTTACCTTTTTTTCTTAGCACAGTTAATAACAAGCTTTGCCCTTGTTAGGAGGATCTACTTGCTGCTCTCTGTAATGTGTTGTTATTCTTGCTTAAAATGCCTCTATGGGAACTATTTTAAGTAAGTTGTTGCACTTCAAATTCACCCTCTGTCTTTATCCAGAGTAATTTTCAAATGCCCATGATATGGTTTGTTTTGGATAGAAGTAAAGGTTCTCTTTTGTAGGTTTCTCTCAAATGCCCCTCTGCATCGAATGCCTTCTCTTTGCAAAGCACAAATTATTCCATGCTTCATCTTCTCCTTCCTCAAATGTAGGTGCCTAATGCCTCTCTTGGAATGGAGTTCAGTAGGATAAAATTTGGCCTGAGAAAACAGTGGTTCAGTCACACTGTTGTCTGGAGAAAATTTACAGGGGTTAAAGAAACTCTCAGGGTTCAAACACTGGTCCATTTAATATTGTCCTCTGTCTCTTTGTGTGTCTGCACACAGAGACTGTCTGTACTTGAGTTCTGGTATATTACAAGGTCCGATTACAGTGCTTATATCACAGGGAATTTATTACCTATAGGAGTCAGAAGAAATTACTGATGGGTCTTACTTTTGTTGTCTTACTGTGGCTCAAGAGGACATGATAATCTTTCCATCCCCAATTTTCTTTCCCAGTTGAAAGGACTTAATGTTCCTTTAGTGTACTTATATCAAACAGGCAAAGAGAAAGGAAGGGTTAAACACTGGCCATGGAAGTATGCATAAGTGATGGCCCATCTGCAGCTCTTCTATCCAGACTAGCTGTGTCCTGTGCTTTGGGAACTGGACTCTCAGTGGATTAGCCATTCAGAAACAGCAGTGGCTGTTGGACTCAGTAAGGTGGTTTTATCTAGTCATTATCTGATTTGCCTGCTAGACTAGCATGATTTTTATAGGACTGAGAGGAAGGATATGTAATAAAATAGAAGTAATCTCATTCATACATTTCTGTACTTCCTGTTCTGTTTTCTTTTGCTACAAGTAAATATTTATAGGTTTGGAGCACTTGGCTCTGTGTATTTTATGGCCTGAAAAATGTTCACCCGATTCTTTTCTTCTGAACCTCTTGGTAGGTGAATTCAGACATCCTGGGATAACAATTTTTTATTTGTAGGACAGGGAAAGTGAGACTAATATGAACCATATTGCTAGCAAGTTTTCTTCTTCACTGCATTCTAGATAGTGTAATTTTCATTTATAATTAGATCTATAGGTCTTTCTTTTCCCTTAGCATTTGATTTCAGGCTTTTTTTTTTCTTTTTCTGTCCTTATCAATGTATAATTGCATGCACAATTTGCTCTTGCAGTACATGGTAGTCTGTCTTTACTAGATAAGAATGCTTGAGTTCATATGTGCTTTATAGTATTCACTGCTTTAGAAGTAGGAGTAAAAAGCCAGTCTCATAGTTCCCATCAGTGATTTTTATCTGTATACAACAACAGGCAAGCTGAATTTAAATGCTGAAATTGCTGTTCCTTCAGGCAGGTAATCTCCAGACGCATTTACGTCGACATTCTGGTGAAAAGCCATACATTTGTGAAATCTGTGGGAAAAGGTGAGTAGAATTGTTCACCTTAGTAAAGTTACCGTGACAAAATTAGTTCAGGTTTTCTTTTCATCTTCAGGATGATAACTAAGGCAGCATGCTGCTCAGTTTTGTTTGAAAGACACTGTGTGCTGATAGGATGAAAATACAGAAATGTCTGCAATTGTCTTGTTGCAAGTAGATAGCAAGATAACGATGTCACCAGGGTTTGTGGTCTTAATGTTTTGTATACTGGGATGTAGTTAGGAATATACTGTTATGTATTTTGTACAGTGTGAGTCAGAATGAATCTTGCAGTTTTGTACCTTCCCCTCACTTCGTTTTTCATTATTTGGTGATACAGTTTTGGTTCCATTTTATGGAATTCTGGCGTATGGGAAACTTGACAAATTTAAGCAAAGCATTAAATATTTCTTCCTTTTGCTAGCTAAAAGGTGGCAGAAAATACACTAATGCAGGAGTAGCACAAATGGAGAATGAGTTACATCAACGGTAAAAAGGTATTTTGGGGGTTTTTTTCTAGCATAAATGTAAATGGACATTGCCAGTTTCAAAATGTTTTTCTTAAATGCATCCATTTAACTGTGTGTTAGATCTTAATCTTTGCTCAGAACATCAGGCATGATTGGCTTTCTGTATTCTGTTACAGATTTGCTGCTTCTGGTGATGTTCAGCGTCATATTATTATTCATTCTGGGGAAAAGCCTCATCTGTGTGATATCTGTGGCAGAGGTATGTAAGGACCAAAGTTTCTGCCTCTTGGGGGTTTTTTTTTGACTGAAATACAAGGAATCGTTTTAATCTCAGTCTGTCCTATTTTTCTAGGATTCAGTAACTTCAGTAATTTGAAGGAGCATAAAAAGACCCACACAGCAGATAAAGTGTTCACCTGTGATGAGTGTGGGAAGTCATTTAATATGCAACGAAAATTAGTGAAGCACAGAATTAGGCACACAGGAGAAAGACCATACAGCTGTTCAGCATGTGGTAAGATTTACTGGGCATCTCTTGGTTGTGTGTGGGAAATGACAAGTCAAAGTTCTTTTGTCAGCAGAATGACAATTCACCACCATGGTTTGAAATTGAAGTACCATGTTATGAGAGGTTTTCCCAAAGTCTTCTGTTTTGCATACTTCTTAGTCTTTCATTTGGTGTATTAAACTCCTTTATCTGTCATAAGTTCAAAAGAGAATTTCAGTTGAAGAACAGAGAAAGGATGGAAAGTTAGGTTTGATATCACTTGGCTATCAATGAAGTCTTTTTTTTCCCCAACTGAATACTGTTTGGTTTTAACTGCATTCACCTATAGAGTCTGATAAGAACAACATTTTGTTACTTGGCTTCAACCTCTGGAATTAAATAAAAATGTAGCAATGTTTCATACCAGAGAACACACATTTTCAAAGTCTGTTAGACAGGCCATACTTCCAGGTGGTCGGAAAAAGGCTCTTTGAGCCATGATTCATTCTTCATTAACACAGTTCTCAGAAATTGCATTGTCTCTCCTGATCTCATGTTACTTAGCATCCTGCATACTACTTACTCACTTTTCCTGCATACTACTCACTTTTTTGCCCTTAAATGCTGTTTTCGTATAGTTTCATTCATGTTCTGAGGAATGAGCTTTGCAGGAGTGTAGCTTCATATGATAATATCCCAGTGCAGTATGTTTTATTTGCACTGTCTTGAGGCACAAGAAAAAGCCAATATTATCAGGAGGTCTTGCATTAGAATGAGGAACTATAGACATGTAGGATGTGAAAGTATTAACAATCAGTCATGTTGCTGTCATTAGAACAGGCTTGTTTTCATCTTCTACTGGTCTTTTGAATAGTTTTCATTTGAGACAAGTTACCTTGTACTGAGAAGGCAAAAATTGTGCAAAGAGGATCTGATCAAGCATTAAGAAATCATTCACATTATGCAAAAAATACAGATGTGTTAATCCAGTAATTTGTAATTTTACTGTTACTGTTTACTGGCTGTTCTGAAGAGAAATCTGTGCAGTAGAATAAAAGGTATAAAGCTGAAAATTGAGACCAGGTGTTCGTTTAATACAGTTCCTTTTAGTTGGTCTCTGTCCTCACAGAATAAAACAAGTGAGATAAAAGTCACAAATAGGTACCAGATTACTTCTACTATCTTGAACAATGAGGTGTCTGAATCATGTAGAAATTCTGGAAATTAGTGCTCTCTTGTTCTGCTTGTTCTTCTACACTTTGCCTTGGTTCAGTCTCACACTTTGGTCTCTGCAGTATGGTGATTGAGCTTATTTGAGTCTGTGGTTCTGAAGAGAGGAAAGAGTTGAATTTTTTTTTTATTCTAATATTTACAGCAATACAAAGTCACAGTTCTTACACATTCTCTGGCTAGAATATAAAAAATGGACTGCTGCATTACGTTAGCTCAAAGTTAACAAAAAAGCTAACTTTATCAGCAGAGGAACTACTCTCAAACCATTGCTTTGTATGATGGAATTCTCACTGGAAGAGTATATTTAGAAGCTTATCAGCCTACTGTTTTTCCAGACAGATGAATTAAATTGGTAGTTTATTTTTTTCTTCATGAAGATGGATAAAAACTGAGAGCACTCACAGCTTTCAAATACTAATGGGTATTCTTGTCTCTGTAGACAAAAATGAAACACACTTGTTGGGAAACACAAGTTAGAAAATCAGATTAAGAAGAAGAAACAAGTTAATGGAATTATAAACATAGGTGGAACTTGCTTGAACCAGTTCTAGATAAAGTACCATGAGTGGGACATACCATACTTAATAGTTTCTCTAATTAAAACATGTTTATTCAGTCAGATTAAGATTTTATTCTTAATTTATCGCTTCTGTCTCGTAGGGAAATGTTTTGCAGGCTCTGGTGACCTGCGCAGACATGTGAGGACTCACACGGGAGAAAAACCCTATACCTGTGAAACTTGTAACAAATGCTTCACTCGCTCTGCAGTTCTGCGGAGGCACAAGAAAATGCACTGCAAAGCCTCTGAGGAGGGGCCAAACACTCTCGAGGAATTTACTCAAGGGATCGAAACTTCTGACCTTGACAAGTCTCAGAGTTCTGACTCTTTCGGCCCAGAAATGTCTGTTACGTTGTTACCAGTGTCTGTGAAGTTTCCCATTCGTCCAACTGGAAATTCCACCGAGTTTGACAGTTCTGGGGATTCTTACTGTAAGCTGCGATCCATGATCCAGCACCATGACTCTGCCAGCCAACAGAAACTCGGTGTGGATTCTGCTAAACTCCCAAAGGCTCAGGCACAGCAAACTCCACCGCCCCCATATCCTTACGCAGACGTGGATGTGTCCTCTGCAGAAGAACCTTTACAGGCTGATACCATGCCCATGGTTCGCTCCTCCCTGGGCAGCCTGGACAGCCACTGCAGTGATCCCCTGGGCAGTCGCGCGCCATCGGCCGCGTATAAGAACAATGAGGGGCCCTTCTTCTCCAGCATGACCCTCTGGGGTTTGGCCATGAAGACCTTGCAGAATGAAAGTGAATTGGAGCAATGAGAGCTCAGGTGGCTGTACCTAAACTTCTCAGAGGCATTTCAGGCTAAAGTGATTGCAATTGCACTGCAGCATAGAGCTTGAATATCAACAGTAACCAAGATACGCATGCCCAGAGCCCCATGTAGGCTGCTCTTATTTACACTGCTTCTCAGCAAAGTTCAGGTCTCCTTTTGGGGACCTTTGTTGTTTTGTGAACTGCACTGTGTAGCTCATGTGTTGCCATGATTTACTAAAATTTGCCGTTTACTAAATTTACCATTTAACTTGGAATTTTTTACCTGAGAGTGGAGGAAAGCATAGCCAATGCCTAATGTCATGGTATGGGGACAATTACAAGTATGGATCACCAGAGCTGTGTAAGGGTGTAGATATGACAAGAGGAAAATACTTAACAAATCCCTAGTGACCTTGAGTTTCAGTAGTGGCTTTCTTACCAGTAGGGTCGTCAGTTTACAGGACTTGATTATTGTGACATTAAATTTAATTGTTAAATACTGTATGATATTTGTGATAGTGCAAAGCAATGTATATCTAGAAACTTTATTTTTTTACAATAAAAAGCTTTTTTTAGTATTTTCTAAACTATTTTGCACAGCAGATTACTTGTACGATGAAGGCCAAGCTCGAGACATGCGAATAAAGGGAAGTTCTTTTACGTTGTATCTTAATTGCTCCATGGGTATCAACTTTTTATGGTTTTCACTAACAGTTCCATCTATTCCAGGTATCCTGAAAATGCTAATAGGGGATGCCACCACAAGAAGAGCAGCACTATAAAATAAATGCAAGCAATACACTAGTAGATTGGCTTGTACTTCAGTGAGTGAGTATGAAACATTGGCTAATTAATGGAATAAACAGACTGGTATGGGATAGAAGTTTTGCTTCAAGGCTTTTTTCTGTTTTGGTGCTTTGAATGGTTGCATTCACTCTCAGTATAGATCTGTTGCTGCATTTCAAACTGTTTGCTGCAGCCACATGACTTCTCCTGGCCTTTCTCCAACCCATCAGAAGGTTTCGCAGTGTGTTGTCAAGGCTTATGCTAAAACATCCCTTACATACTGCAGTTTCTGAAATGAAAATATCCTCATACTCACCTTTTTTCTGAAGTTCATTCACAGGATGGAAAGCCTGTTTGAAGCACATACTTCTTATTTCCTATAAGGAGTCTCAATCTTTGTAGGCTGAGAAGTGGGTTTGAGTGTTTTGCAACAGCTAACAAGATAGAATAGAATAGAATCATAGACTTTGAGGGGTTGGAATGGACATTTTAGATCGTGGGCAGGGACACCTCCCACCAGAGCAGGTTGCTCAAGGCTCATCCAACCTGGCTTTGAACACTGCCAGGGCTGGGGCAGTCACAGCCTCCCTGGGCAACCTGTGCCAGTGATGTGATGTCTCAGCACAATATCTATTACCACCACTCTTTAATCACACTGCAGTTCCTCTGCTGAAAAAAGTCATGTATGTGTAAACCTAATCGCTGGAACTGTCTAGTAATTAATATGTGTAATGTCATATATTCCTGGTATTAGAAAATACATCACTTAGAATGCAGATGCACTGGAAAACAAATTGGGAATTTTTTCACCTTTCTTTTCTTGAAGTGCACATCTACTAGAAAACTTTAAAACACCTAGATTTTTCCAGCCAGTGAAGTCAAAACACTGAAGCTTTTGCAGTGTGTGTATATGTGTGTGTGTTGAAAACAGCTCAGAGGCTAACTGAACACAGTCCTACATGGATTAAGCAGGGAGCACTTTAGATATGTGAACCGTTAGCTCTTCCCTCATTCATTGTCTTTGGAATTATTTGCCACTGAACGCTGCAGATCTTTGTAAGAATTGTCCACATGCTGTTCAACAATCCAGGTATTCTGGTTCTGTCCCTGACCATGTGTGCTCATGCTCACTCTCACTCTGCTTTCCTTGCACTAGTGCCTAAGGCAAGATGTGAGTATCTGCCAGTCACTAGCTCTGTAGGTTTCCTCTTGTCAGAAACTATCTTCAAATTTACTCATCCCAAGAGAAAATAGAAATTTGATTCTGTTCCCGTGAGGATTCTGTTGCTTGGAATGGATAAATCTGCAATTTGTGAACCTCCTAACTTTAAAGTTGCCTCTGGTCCTGCAATGGTTTTGCTTTCTCTGTTGTATTTTGGAGGAGTTACTTTAGGATAAGTTTAAAACAAACCATGTCGCAACCTTTATGCTCTTCTAACAGGGTATTGGAAGTCTGTACATGGGTTTGGAGCAATGTGTTACTGCCGTAAGACTGTCTTAAAATGGCATCTTGAGATAGGTAAGATTGCAGGTATCAGGTGCTCTATGTGAAGAGGACAGTTCTGTTGCACTAAGGATAATTCCTCTTGCTTGGCAGTATTTCTTTCTGTGAGTGTTTCACACCAAAAACATGAAGGTTCTCAAACCTGATACCAGACTGTGAATGCTGTTTGCAGTTTAGAGAGTTTGTTTGCAGTTTGGAGGGTTTGTTAAGACACCACATTGCAATGTGGCATCTTTGAGAAGGAAGTGGAGCAAACACTGGTAGGAGCAAAGAGTCCCATCTGAGTTTCTGCGGCTGGAACCAGAAACAGCAGGAGCGATGGCACCAGGCAGGAGCACTGTGAACTGTTGTTTATAGCTCACTGGAAGGAAAAGCTGTGCAAGAGAGAAAATTCAAAATATTAGTAGGTGGATGGAGTCAGATGGAAGAGTATGAATTTTTATGCATGGAGTAAGAAATTTTGGATTAAGAAGTCCAACTCTGCTGTAACCCCTAAACCAGATCTTCCAGCACTAGATCCAGATGCTTCTTAAACACTTCCAAGGATGGTGACTCCACCACCTTCCTGAGCAATCTATTCTAGTGCCTGACCACCTTGACAGGGAAAATTTTTTCCTAACATCTAAGCTGAATTTCCCCTGTCTCAGTTTATGGGTATTCCCTCTAGTCCTCTCCCTGCATATATGGCAGGAGAGACATCCCACTCCTCTCTACAACTTCCTTTTGGGTAGTTGTAGAGAGTGATGAGGTAACCCCTGAGCCTCCTCAAGGCTAAACAAATTCAATTCCCTCAGCACTTCCTCATACAATGTGTTCTAAACCTTTTATGAGCCTCGTTGCCCTTGGCTGGACTCGCTCCAATGCCTCAATGTCCTTTTTGCAGTGAGGAGCCCAAAACTGAGCACAGCACTGAGGTGTGACCTCACCAATGCCAAGTCCAGGAGGATGATCACTGCCCTAGTCCTGCTGCCACACTATTCTTGATGTGATGGCACTCAGGATGATCTGTCTCCTCCATGACCTTGTTCAGAGGTGAGGTTAGGCTTGCAGGTCTGTAGTTCCCCAGATCCTTCTTCCAATCCTTCTAATAGATGTGTCCCATGTTTGCCAATTTCCAGTCAGCTGGAACTTCTCCAGTCGTCCAGGCCTGCTGACAATGATTGTGAGTGGTTTAGTGAGTTATTTTGACAGTTCTCTTATTATCCTGGGGTGCATCTCATCAGGCCCCATGGACATGTGAGCATCCAATTGACATAGCAAGTCTCTAACCATCTCCTCCTGGATTATGGAGGCTTCACTCATCTCCCCATCACCAACTTCCAGCTCTAGGAGCTGGGTATCCTGAGGGCAACTGGTCATGGCATTAAAGACAGAGGCAAAGAAGGCATTGAATACCTCTATCTTATCCTCATCCTCTGTCACTACAGTACCCTCTGCATTTATCAGCTGATGGACACCATCCTTGACCCTCCTTTTGCTCCCAATGTTGTCCTTGACTTTAACAGCTAAATCAAGATCCAGCTGGGCTTTGGTCCTCCTAATCTTCTCTCTATGTGACCTCTTGGCATCGTTATAGTCTTCCCAACTTGCCTGACCCTCCTTCCAGAGATGAGACATTCTCCTTTTTGTTTTTTTCCCCAAGCTCCAGCCTAAGTTCTCTGTTTAACCAGACTGGTCTTCTTCCTCAGTGACTCGACTTCCTACACATAGGAACAGTCTGCTCCTGAATGCTTAACAATTTTAAGCATAAAATGTTTAACAAGGATCTTTCTCTGTATCCTAATAATTCCCTGTGCCAACCCATAGGTCCATAATGAAGAGGACGTTTGAGTGGGAGTAGTAAATAGGGTGTGATAGTCTTAATGCTGCCATAAAGCTGGAGGAGAGCAGCTACCCCGTGACTTTGAAGAACAGGTGGATGCCGTGACACCACTGCTGAGCCAATAGCATTTTACAAGCAGCAGACACTCATCCATAGCTATTTCTCATAAATATCCATAGCCAACGTGCTGAGGGGAGTGAATAAGCATCAGTCCATTGTGTAGCAGCAGGCACTGCTGAAGTGCTGTTATGGTTGATGTAAATGGCATGCTATAGAAAAGAAAAAAAAACATGTTTGGGAAGAGGATGTTAACCAGCCTGGCCTAGTGAAATTGGAGGAGTGCTAATTGTTATTTCTTAGAATAACTATCCTGCAGCTCAGAGCTGCTGTTATCTTGTCAGCTTGAATCACTTCTGCTTACTGAAGATGCAGGTGACCAATCAAAGCTTCATTTGGGTTTGTTCAGTGCAGACATATCTGTCATTTGACTCCTGTACAATATAAAAAAAACATTAAACCAGTGTTTAAACTCTTGAAGGCATTACAGTGTTTTGGGGGGTTATTTAAGAGCATTAAACCTATACAAAATGTAATTTCCCATTTTTATGTGGGAATTTTTTTCTGTGTATAGATAGGAAAACGATACATTGTATAATTACATCAAAGTTCAAATAATTCCTTAAAAAAATCCTCTGCTTGAGACTTATGATCTAGTTTAGTTACAACTGTAAAAGTTGTATAAAGAAGGAGAACTTCACTAGGAAGGACTTATCACTTATTACCTGTTGCCATTGAGCATGTGTTAGAGTGGTTTTGTGGTCTGAGACTTTATCTGTATTCTCTCATACTCTTTAAACCTGGTCCACTACATGTTGTGCAATTTCTTGGATTCA